ATTTGTAAATTAGACGAGCATGGTTCACCCTGTCAAATGCTTTACTAAAGTCAGCATAAATAGTGTCTACTTGGCAACCTAGTTTAAATGAGTTAATGATGTTATTCTGATAAATTAATAGATTTGTCACAGAAGATTTGCCAGAGGTAATACGATGCTGTTCATTTACAATTATATTTTTGCAATGCCATGAAAAAAATTTGTAACCAGCAGCTCAAATATTTTAGGGATGATAGAGAATTTATTGATAGGCCGGTAATTCTTAACATGAGACTTATCACCATTTTAAAAGATTGGTGGTATTAATTATATTGTTAATCATCAATCTTGTATGCTTTGAATGGTTTTGTGTGTAAGACATATTTTTTTAAATTGTTTAATATTTTACAGGCTGCAGTTCGCTTTTTAAAAATGAATAGCAAATTACAAACTGTAAGTACTCATGAAGCTAAATTATATCTGGTGTATATCATCATAGCGATTACAAAAATTACTGATTTCTACTGGATCTACTGAGTCTTTTTTTAATTTCCACTAAAAGTATAATACTTAGGTCCGATCCTTTCACCTCTGCGTAAAGTTGAAATTACTTGCAGATTAAACTATAAGGCCATTTTTTTGTTAATCTGTCAAGTAAACTCACGTGCAACTTTACTCAGAGGTGAAAAGATCGGCCCTTAATGGTATTTGTATCTGTAACGTATAAAGGATGGGTTGCCTTACTTAGGCTTCACATTATATATCTTTATAAATTGACATGCTCCTCTTAGCTTCTCAGCCTATACATATTTGTACTTGACATCGTTGACAAAGGTGCTTTTTTTATATCGGCCGGTGTTAGCCAAAACTTCTAATAAATGAGAGCCTCGGGCAATCGTAGAGGATATGCTTGAGTCTCATCTTTTTATTCGCCCTCCCTGAAGGGTGTTGATTCTGACAGCTCTATGATATGAAAAATAGAAATGCTTCTATATTTGGAAATGACCAGTTAGAATGCCTATATTGTACTTCTACCATTTTCAGTGCTTTAAGGGCGGCCTGACTGTATGTCATGATAAAGATCCTCTTATCTCTAAAAGAATTATTTAGCATTACTTTGGTGCAGGCATTTATTGCTATTGCTTCAGTCTGGAAGACTGTTGTCAGTGACCCTAAGTTCAGACTAATATTCCTCCCTGAGTTTACACGGTAGATCATAGCTCCTGTGCTGTTTTTCATTTTCAAACCGTCTGTATACTAAATTGATTCGTTTTGTTTTTCCCTATTTTCCCAGCTTTTGGCTCTTTCTGGTATTTAAATATCGAAAGGTTTCCTGAAGTCGTGAATAATGAGTGTTCTATCCGATGGCATTCTTAATACTGGAATTTGTTTTAATTTCTCTAATATCATTGTGTGGTGTCCTTTTCTCGAAAATTCACATCCATATCCATTAGTAAACAGCCTGTATGCCGCCGCCATAGCCTCCTTCTCCACCACAAGGTGTAGTGGAGGAGATTTAGCAGTAGCTTTATTGCTGCTGTGGGTGTAGTTCTAAATGCTTCTGCTTTATTAGACAGGCTAGTCTTTGTACCTTGTCTTTCTGTTAGCTGTTATGCTTTTAGTTTTGTGCCATCATATGACTGCTGACTAAGTTATAACAGGTACTACAACCATAGTGTAAAGCCAGTGCATCATACTTGGTTTAAGTCCCCATATGTTCCCTACCATCCGTCTACAGGCCCATAGTATTATTACAGCTTTTCTGTTGTTTTTTCTATATGGCTGCAGAAGCTAAGCTTATCATCAAGAGTGATTCCAAAATATTTAACCTCTTTTGCCATCTTTAGATGTTGTCCCTACATATAAAGCTTCTTCATTCCTTGAAGGTGTCTTTTTCTTGTGAATGCAACAACAGAGGTTTCGACACTATTTAGTATCCGTTGGATTATTTCGGATACAACAGATCCAAATTTACCGTTTACTACGATGCTTATGTCGTCTGCAAAGTTTTCTGTCTCTAACTCCCATAAGAGGTCATCAGTCACCAAGGTCCACATAAGAGAAGATAACACTCCTCTCTGCGGGAAACTCTTGCCTGAGACCTCTCCTGTTGTGTTAAGGAGATTACTGGTAATGGTTCTATGATTAAGCATGAAGTCAACCCACTTCGTAAAGTAGTGGGCTACTCTACGCCTGTGATTATATCCCAGTATTGAATTATATAAAGCCGAATCAAAGGCTCCTTCTATATCTAGGAATACTCCTAGTGCTATTTATTTGCTTTCTATAACTTGTTCAGCCTGTTGAGCGAGCCTATGTATGGCTGCATCGCAAGACTTTCCATATTAGTAGGCAAATTGGTAACGATATATCGGTTTATCTCGTAAAACATCGTCCCGTATATATCAATCAATCAATCAATTTCTCCAATGGGTTTAAGAGTAATTATGTCTGAAAGATTTGCTCTCCTCGTAAGACGCTTTCCTGGGTTTAGGAATGAAGAGAACTCTTGCACACCTCCAGCTTTATGGAACATATCCGAGGACTATGCTACATCGGAATAGTTTACACAGTGGTCCCTCCAGTACTTCCTGGCCCTTTTGTAGAAGTTCCGAGATTATACCATCACGTCCAGCTGTTTTATATGGTTGAAAGCAATTTATTGCCCACACAAGTTTTGTTCTATTTACTTGCAAGAGACCAGTTTGTTTTTGAGGCCCTAGTATTAAGTGCCTCGATACTCCTGTTCTCTTAGTTAAGAATAATCTCACATCGAAGAAAGTGTGACTAGTAGTAAATCTAAAGTCTCCTTCTCTGTTTTTCTTAGTTCTCCTTGTTGATTTTTCAGATGTCCCATGCATCCTTGCTTATCTCTCTGTAGAGTTTTCCTGAATCTGGAATATTCTGAAAGGCTTTTAATGTCGTCACAGAATTTCTACCATGAATTTTCTTTGGCTTTACTAATGACATAGCCATATTCTCTCCGGTACGCCTTATTGGCTTCCCAGTTCCACGACCTCTTGGACAGGTTAAAGAGTTTGCAAACTTCTGCTCTTTTTTTGGAAAGGTCTCGATTCCACCATATAACGTCTCGATCCTCTTTCCTAATTTTTAAAGGGCAGTTTTTTTAAACGTGTAGGTTAGGGTTCGTGTCAGAAACTCTGATATAAACTCAACTTTCACTAAATTCTTCGGTGTCGGAGGACAGTCCTCCAGTCCCTGTTTGAGTTCTTCCTTGAAAGCCTCCCAGTTATATGTCCTAGGATTACTATACGTCTTTTTACCCGAGGTTTTTGTACCCAGATTAAACAGGATATGCCTATGGTCGGAAAGTGACGCTTCCTTTGAGACGTACCACTTCCTTACAATGAACACGCCCGTTGTGTAGCAAGGGTTATATCAATTACCTCCCTTCGCACAGATGTTACGAAGGTTGGTTCATTTTTAACGTTTGCAACTTCAAGTTTATTGGAAGCAATAAATTCCAGAAGAGCATTTCCTCGGTTATTAATGTCAGTGCTCCCCCATACTATATGGTGAGCATTAGCATCACACCCTAGAAGAAGTTCGATTTTGTTTTTTCACAGTGACTAACCAGTTTTCTTACCTCCTTGGTGGGGGAGAGCCCAGGTTGGTCATATAGGGGGTTAAGATATGTATATATTGAAGAAATCCTAAATTAAAAACGAAAAATAAGAAGCGATCTCAACATAAAATTTTTAACAAACATCAAGCTCTACAAGGAGAAGAATCCCCTTGAAAAAAAAAGATCTAAATCAAAATGGAGGTTTAAGGGGGGGGGTTGAAATAAAAAAAAATCCTAAATCAAAAATGACGAGCGATATCAACATGAAATTTAGTAAAAATCAAGCTCCATAAGGAGTGTGAACCCTATTGATTATAAAAAAAATCTGTTTGAAAATGGGAGTTAAGGGGGGTTTGTTAAACTGTGAAGAGTAGAATTTTTAATGCTACGCATTATATACAGGGTGTTTACGAACTTGGCGTCCAAATTTGTAGGGGTGGTAGTTCGCATAATTTGAGAGCGATTGGCAGATTTCATTTTTCCAAAATATTTAAAATAAAAATAGGAGTTTCAGGATTTTTCCAGAAGTAGACGAGTTTATTTTTTTTCATTTGCTTCATACTGTATATTTTAGTACGAGGAATTTCATTCATTAATATCTATTTATTTCCGTCTTATAACAAATTGTATAAGAAGAGACAGGCTTTTATCTTAACTCATCCATTGATTTCTCAAGCACTTTTTATTTGTACATACAAAGAGGCGTGTTGACCTATTTACCAGCTCCAATTCATCACGTAAGCAGCTTTTCTCTATTTAAGCCTCATGCCTTCTCAACCACCCAAACTTGGACAAAAACACATGTAAAAAGAAATAGGATCGAAAGATACAACTATTTTTATATAACATAAATTATTATTATATACATTTTTATTTCTGTTTCTATAATAAAAACACTCTATTTCATAAATTAATGAATATATTTATTGATATGTTGTAGAAAAAGAAGAATAATGATATTTTATTGAGAAATATATCCATTATTATGACCATTGTGGAGAAATATAAAATATTTAAGGTAATAGTATAGCATTTAGAATTTTTTTGTATTTGTTTAGTATTCTAGAAGCTTTAGTTTGAATTCTTTGGTCATTTTCAGGTCTAAAATATTTCTAAATATTTTAGAATTAATTTGCTGGACACTCAAATTGAATAATATATTTTATTCGGAATATTTTTACATTCTACACTCGTTTTACAATTGCTTCTTCTTATACTGATCCATGCTTTGAATATCTAAATGCTTGACAATTTGGATTACCGAAAGTTTATAAATACTCAATAACATAAAATTAAAATATTTTAATGATGACAAAATGTACATGATTTAAGAGAATGTAATTAGTACTAAATTTCTCCATATATTTTTATAATCAAATGGTAATGGAAATTAAAAGTTTGTAAATGCAGTTGTTTTTTGTTGCAGATTTAGAAAATGATCAACGTAGCAGGAGTTATATCTATAATCATATTTTATGTTCTCATTTTGGGAGTTGGAATATGGGCGGGAAGAAAAAAAGAAGAAGGAAATGATTCCGAAGAAGAAGTTATGCTCGCTGGACGAAACATCGGTTTGTTTGTCGGCATTTTCACGATGACAGGTAAATAAATATCATTTTAAAATCTTTATAGAAATAAACGCAAGTCGAATACAATAAGGGCTGTGTTATAATTTGGCGGAGTCAAGACTTGATAATCCTCTTTAGATGTATAAGAGCATTCAATATAAAAACCAATACACGTTATCAATCAGTTGTGAAATCATAGCCTTGCAGTGTTGTCCAATCTTTAAAATAGCCTAAGAATGTAGGAGTTTTTAAAACTATGAGGTTATGTTTTTTTGGAGCAACAATTAATTTTAAATGTATAATGAATTCTATATAAAAGCCAATGAAGGTCATTGATAATGTTTAAATTGAAGTTTTAGAAAAACAGTGAATTTAATAATAATAAATTTTGCATAAGAGGTTTAAAATGACAAAAAAAGCTTAGGTTAAGGATGAAAAAACTTTAACGAAATCTAATGTCAGCATTAAGGACGAATCTTCCTCAGAAAATAACACATCTAAAGCTGTTAGAATGGATTGATAGCTATCCGGCATTCCAGAAAGTAACTGGGTTAATATTTCAATATTTTTTATTTTGCCACCTGCACTTCTTAGTTCTGCCACAGTTTTTTCATATTCTATGAGGTAGTCATTCAGTGACGTTTTACCATTAAATTTTAATGTCCTCAACTTCTTCTGTAACTGTAACAATTTCCGTCATTTGGTATGTCTTTTGCAAAGTATCAATCATCTCCTTTGCAGTTTCTTTCTCTTTTACCATTTCCAGAACGTTATCGCCCAAACATTGCACAATAATGTTACGCGCCTTCACATCATTCTTCCTGAAGTTTGTAAGTTCATTTCCAGCCTCTGGTACATCCATGGATAGGACTTCTAGTGCTCCATGCTGTTCTAATGTTAGTTTAACTCGGAATAACCAATTTGCAAAGCCCGTGCCATTAAAAGGTTTTACACAGATAGTGGAAACTGCCGCCATTTTCACACATAAATCTCGATTTCTTTATCCAGGATCCCGTTACAACGTTATGTTTTAGGCTTGTACTGGGCCCATAACCTCTTATAATTCACCAGGTATCCAAAAGAAATATCTATTTCATTGAAAAAACACTTTATTCACAGAGCTTACAAAAATTGCCTTGCTTTAACAACGGTCATTAAAACAGAACGACGGTTGACAGTTATACCAACCTAAGAACAATTAAAGACACTAAAAGTAGGTATTAAGGTAAGTTCACATTGTCGTAAAATTGTAACTTATAACATTTTGAAGCAAATATGGTTTCGGCACCATCAATAAATCCATTTTCGTTTCCAGCATGAAGAATTATATATCTATAAAAAAGATCAATATACAGTTAACATGTATATATTCATTAGTTTTTTTTTATTAACCTTTTACCATCAACTTTTGTACTTTTTACATTTCTTTTATTGCTTTCTTGCCAAGAACGGTTTATGGTGCCATTTTGGAAAATCCAAGTCTCATCAATAAAAACAAACTGGTACAAATTTGCTTCCTTTTCTTTGGTATATTTTCTTAAAAATTCTGCCCGTTTCACTGCAATATCTGAAAGTTCCATAAGACCTCGCCTTGGTTCATCTTTCTGTCATTTGAAACCTATTTCTAATAATAAGGTATGCAATGATGTGCGAGATCCATTAAACAACTCCTTCTCATTAAGTTTTACCAACAAAGAATCTAAACTTACATGCTCCTCTGAAATCATACATTAATTTGTAATTGTTTAATAATAATTTATATACATATACACTTACTAGACTCGTACTTGCTATAAATAACATCTCGAATAGCACTGGTATTCAGAATTCTTGTGTTAGTAACTTTCTTTTGCCTAGGGCGCTTTTTTGGTGGTGACTTTAGAACTTCACTGTTTTTGCAGCTTGTGAAATAGAACTAACAGTAGAAAAATGGAGATTAAGTGCTTCTGCGACACGCTGAAACAAAATAATTATATTAATTTGACGGTGATACATTATTAATCAACTCACTTGTCTTACAGTTGTTAAAGGTAACAAAGGCCCATTATTATCACGTTTTTTCTCAAAATAATTTATAGAGAAGCCACTAGTTCCTTGTAGCGACTATTTATTTGTTTTGCCATTTTTCAATGAAAAAATACACAATAAACCAACACCACTATTAAATTCCTAATAAATTTGTTCTGAAAAGAACAGTTTGTTATTAATTTAATCTAAAGTACAAATAATTTGTTGAAAAGAAATCGATCGATGCAAAATAATACAAAACAAATAACAATTGACAACAATGTATTAAAATTGAAAGCTGACACATTTGATGCCAACTTTTATTATGAAATTCAGTAGAAAGTATTCCGCTTAATAATTTGCCTACAGTACATTTACTACTACTGTGATATGATAAAAAATACATTTTTAATATGCAGTTTTATAAAAATGAAATCCATGCGTCTAAATTTATTCATTTATTTGCAAAATAAAATTTAATTATTTTTATTAGTGTGTGTGGTACCAATGACTGTCACTGACGTCATCTCTGACGTGCATCAGTTTTTATATTGAATGCTCTATAACAGAGCAGAGCTAAAAATATCGCATTGACAATTAATAGTTGTTAGGTAAGTTGGTGATATCCTATTTCGGCCGTCTCATTTCGACATTTCTTAAAATTCTATCTCTTCTTAGATAGGTAATTTCGGCCGGTCATCTCTGAAATAGGTTTCAAGTAAGGAATATAGTTCCCTCTTTGACTGGTTGGTACTAATTATGAATATGTTAATTTCTTCCAAATAAAATACATAATCATTTCAAACCACTAAATGAGTTCTTAGAAAAACCAATTGTAAATTTAAATTTTAATCTATTGTTATTGTATTGCATTCTAATATTAAAAAATAATATTATTAAATTGCAGTAATATTTTACTGTAAATAAATGTTAAATAAATTTGAATTATGTTAATTTTCCAGTCGAAATGCAACTCTTTTTTGATCGACCGAAGTAAAAACGGCCGTATTGGGACTAAATCGTTTTATTTCTATAAAATATTATAGTTTATACGATGTGTTGAAGAAGAATAAATGTACCTAATTGTCGAGTAAGCCTTAACGTGATAATAATATAGATTAACTTGTATCAATAATACGACACAAATAATAATGCTGCTATGTAAATATTTATATTATAATGAGTATTGTTATTGAACATAATATATTCGGATCTACATCTACTAGTTCGTTCGTCACGCAATATTCTCATTTTCTTGTATAAATGCTGCTTTAATTCAGTTTTATTAAATTGTAAATATTCAATTGCTTGCATCTATTAAAAACGAATCTTTCATAAAAACGTTAGGGTTGGACAGAAAAGTAATTAGTCTAGCCAAGAGATGACGCCACCAGTCAAATCAACTCTAAATCGATCCCACAATAAATCTGGAATTATCTTAATAAAATAATAAACTAGAGCCAGTCATTTCATTTCCGAATAAAGTTAAATTAACTACTTGCTAATTAAACTATAGGGGTATTGTTTGTTATTCTGTCAAGTAAACCTCCTGTAACTTTACCTAGAGGTAAACAGATGAGCCCTTAGTTCTACGAGCATTTTTGATAATGAGCGACCAGGATATCCAAAAAAGGTCACCTCAGCAGATATTGTAAAAAAAATTAATATTGAAATATAGATCCGTAAGAACACATCAGAGACCAAGGAACACTTGGAACAGTGAGTTTCTCAGGATAAATATATAGCAAAGAAGGTCATTTGGGTCTTTTGGCTAACCAGGTCTTTGTTGAACACAGCAGGTAAACTTTAAGAACACATAATTTTGGGACGATTACTATTGGGATCTGAAAATACGATCACAGCGCCATCTGTACTTGACTTTTAAACTAATTGTAGTGGCTTATTATTGTTTACAGTCTGTTTGCTAAACTTACGCGGGTTTTTGATTAAACATTTTATGAGTAAATCCAGGTAAGTACCCGAAAATTTGACCTGTTCTTTGGGGAAATATCAACTGGTTTAATGAAATGAAAAATAATGTACATCTTTTTAATTAAATAATAATGGAGAATCTTTTGTATAATTGAGAGCAGAATTAAACTTCTTCATTAATGGAGTCTGTAATGTGGCTATTATAAACCTAATAATAATTTTGTATTACACTTCACACAGAAAATATGGTCTATGTATAATAAGAGGGTTATTTAGCTCAAATAAAATATTCTCATAAACATTTGTTCCATGTAGAGAATTTCAAACGAAAAATAAAAAAAATGAAAATCCGTCATTATCATCCAAAATATCATAATCGTCATCATCATCACTGTCATCACCATTAATTGTTATTATGATTGGACTTATTTCGTTTATTTTATTTTCATGAGTCCACCAATCTCCTATTAGTTTCTTGCACTTGGATATACAGTGTCACTATAACCATGAGGCCCAATATGGTTGTCATAATATTGTTTTGCTATGCCCCATATATATTTGATGGGATTAAACTGGCAATGATACGGTGGCAGACGTAAAACTTGATGACCGTAACTTTTAATAATCTGATCCACAACAAAAGTTTTTGGTTTTGCCTGTATATTTGCCAAGCGTAGTAATTCTGATTTTAATATATATTGAGGAAATGATATATGTTCCTTTGACAACCATTCTTTAATTTTATCAACAGTCCAAGAATTCGAGGGACTTTTGTTTAATACTTCAGAATGGTAAGGTGCATTGTCTAAAATAATTACGCTGGGCTCACTTAAACCTGGGAGAAGTTTCTCATGCAAACATTTTACAAACATTTCTGTGTTCATATTATCGTGATAGTCACTGGATTTTGATTTAGATGAAAATATTAAATCAGTACCTTCTATAAAACCCGATTTCCCTCCTGCATGTAAAATTATGTGTCGCTTCCCTTTTCCATCGGTATGTTTGATGGACTTTACGTTATCATCTTGGCATATTCTCTTGGTTGCACCCCTAGAAAATATCCATGTGTTCGTCTAAATATATAAAATTCG